ATGATAAACCTATTGCCAACATCGTACTAAATGGGAACAAACTGAAACTATTTCCTCTAAAGTTAGTCATGAGACATGGATATCCATTTTCTCCATTCATTTTCAATATAGTGCTTGAATTCTTAACCAGAACAATAAGGCAAGAAAAATAAATAAAAGGGATACTAATAGGAAAAGAAGTCAAATTATCCCTATTTGCAGATGATATGATCCTATACTTAAAAGACCCTACAGACTCCACCAAAAAACTCTTAGATCTGATAAACATTTTTTGTCAAAGTACCAGGATACAAAATCAACATATAAAAATCAGTAGCTTTTCTATGTACCAATAACAGACAGGCTGAGAAAGAAATCAGGAAAACAATCCCATCTGCAATAGTCTCAAAGAAATTAAACCCCCAGGAATAAATCTAATGAAGGAGGTAAAAGACCTTTATAATGAAAACTATAAAATTTGAAGAAGACACTAGAAGATGGAAAGACCTTCCATGTTTGTGGATCAGCAGAATTGTGAAAATGGCTACACTACCAAAATCAATCAATAGATTCAATGCAAAACCCATAAAAATTCCAATGCCATTTTTCACAGAAATATTAAAAAAATCCTAAAATTCATATGAAAACACAAAATACCTGGCTTCAAATTATACTACAGAGCCATAGGAACAAAAACAGCATGAAACTGGCACAAAAACAAACACATAGACCAATGAAACTGAATAAAGATCCAGAAATAAGCCCACACAGCTACAGCCATCTGATTTTGACAAAGGTGCCAAAAACATATGCTGGAGAAAAGACAGTCTTTTGAACATACAGTGTTGAGAAAGCTGAATATCCACATGTAGAAGACTAAAGTTAGACCCCCATCACATACCTGTCAAAAATTCATTCAAAATGGTTCGAAGATCTAAATGTAAGATCTGAAACTTTGAAACTGTTAGAGGAAAACATAGGGAGGACCCTTGATAGGCATGAACAATGCCTTTCTGAGTGACTCATTGCTCAGGAAATCAGAGCAAGAATTGACAAATGGACTTGTATTAAATTGAAAAGCTTCTGCACAGCAAAGGAAACAATTACCAGAAAAAAGAGACAACTACAGAATGGGAGAAAATATTTGCTAGCTATTCATTGGATAAATAATTAATAACCAGAACACATAAAGAGCTCCAAAAATTAAACACTAAAAGAACAATCCAATTAATAAATGGGCAAATGAATCAGATAGTTCTCAATAGAGGAAGTACACATAACCAATAAATAGTTGAAGAAATGTTCAATATCCTTAGTCACAGAGGAAATGCAAATCAAAACTGCACTGAGATTCCATCTCACTCCAGTCAGAATGGCCATCATCAAGAAAATAAACTTCAGTCTGGAGGTGTGGCTCATATAATAGAGCCCCTGCCTAGCAAGTGCAAGGCCCTGAGTTCAAACACCAACACTGCCAAAAAACAACAAAAAAATGAGTAAAGGAAACAAACAGCAAGTGTTGGTGAGAATGTAGGGGAAAAGGAACCCTTCCACTGTTAGTGGGAAGTAGATCAGTGCAGCCACCACAGAAATCAGTATATAGAGGTTCCTCAAGAAACTAAAAACAGAGTTACCATATGAAAATACTATACCATTCCTGATCATATATCCAAAGGAATGGAAGTCTGCATACAATAGAGATAGCTACACACAATAGCCAAACTATGGAATCAGCCTAAGTGTTCATAACAGATGACTGGATAAAGAAAATGTGATATATATACACAATGGGGTAATATTCAGCAATAACGAAGAATGAGTTTGTCATTTGCAGGGAATTGGATGAACTGGAAATAAGCCAGACTGCAGAAAGACAAATATCTCATATGTGAAATCTAGATCTAAGAAAATTTTAAAATGACATGAGTTGTAAAATGGGTGGATTATTTGGAGGTGGGAATAAGTGGGAGGGGGTAGGATGCAAGGAGAGGGTGACTATGATCAAAGTACTTCATATGCATATATGAAAATAGAATAATGAAACTGGTTAAAATTGTTTTTAAAAAGTGGAGCAGGGGGATAAGAAAGGGTAATAAAGGGGGTGAATTTGGTCAAAGTACATTGTATACATGTCTGGAAATATCACAATGAAACCCCTTTGTACAATTAATACACTAATGAAAGAGAGAGACCCCCTGCAGGTGTAAAACTCCTGAGACAGGAATAGGAAGTGGAAAGGCAGGCATCGTCTGCAGCCATGCTGGTGAACTGCAGTGTGGAAAACAATGGGGGAACCCACTGAGGGGCCTCCAGTGTGGCTGTATGACAATGGCGCCACTTCCAGCAGCCCTCGCCCCTACCTTAATAGGGAAGAATGTTCTTTCTTCCCCTCCTCTAGCAAGCATGGCACAACTTCCTGGGCTCTCCCCTCTGCTGAATCCCATCCATGAAATGCTCCCACTGAGAACCTGGAGCCACACAAGTTTGTCCCACGGGAGGACCACTTTTAATGAGCCTGAACACACCCAAGGAATAAAATTCTAGTAACAGCTGTCCTGCCTCCCAGCAGTCTGTTAAGCCACGTTAACTTTTCCTGTCACAGAGGAAGAGAAGAGAAGTCACTCACTCTTCCATGGGTTTTGGTTCCATGTAAGGAGATAGTTTTCAAGAAACTCACCTACCAGAGGTGGAATTGGAGAAAGTGTCCAGAGGGGAAATTTCAGGTATCAGTGGCAGGAGGATGAGAAGACGTTATGTTGGCCTGGGGCCTCTGGGAGGCAGCTGAGGAGAGCTGCCTGTGCACTGCTTCTGGGACGGGCTATGCCTGCTGATGCTCATACTGGGCCATCAGCTGAGGTGGCTTGGTCTCGAAGGAAGAATCAAAGGATGGATAGTGGATACCTGGGGCTAGCATGGGAGTTGGGGAAGAAGAGCAGGCGGGGGGTGGGGGGGTGGGGAAAATGAGAAGCCTATCTTCCCCAGGCTATTCCTGCAGAGTGGGAAGACCAAGCAAAAGGAAGGGAGGTGCCTGATGGGCCAGAACTCTTCTATCTAGCAACCTGAGGCACCACGGTGGCCAGGTTCAGATAGGCATGGAATCTTTGAAATCTATCTCATTAATACAGAAATTAGAAAAAATGTTTCCTATGACATAACAAATACTTTAAGAGAGAATACTTTGTGGGCTGCCACTTGGAACATTTTACCAAGTTAGGATGCCAGCTGACACTGGAAGAGTCCACTCACAGTAAGGCCAGAAGGCAGAAGAGGGTAGCATGAGGTGTGACACTGGCTTTTGGAACAGGAGCTCCCTGGTCACCTGGAGGTTCTCTTCAATTGGAACCCTTCATGAAGTGACTGGAGTGATGTCTAAGACCTTCAGCTTCCACATATTTTATCTTATCAGTCTTTCCCATTAGCCTAACAAGCAGAGTATATCCTCTTCATTTGACAGAGGGGGTACCAGCCCAGCAAGGTGATAAAACCTTAGCAGCCTGGATCCTATCCCAGTGTTCATCCCTACTTCCCCACCCCAAGCCAGAGCAGGGCCTTGACCACACACAGTGCCAGGGCAGGGGTCAGGAGCCTGGCCCCACTAGCTCAGACTGTTTGGGCTCCCTGTTCTTTCTGTAGTTCACAGCGTGTGCTTAGATCTCACATTTTATATGCTTCTTTCTCAAGGAGTCTCAGCTATAAGCAGAAACAGGGTCACAGATGTGAGGCAGGCCAGTCCTAAAGCACTTCCTGCCCCAGCTCCACACAGGCCTGAGTCCCTGGCAGTTGCTGGAGTTCAAGTCCAGATGCCAGCAGGCTCATGAGCATGGCCCTTCCTGATCTCTGAATGCAGGGGGATGGACCTTCTCTGTAAAACTGCCCACCCTGGAGTGACTGCTGAAGAGACCCAAAGTGGGAACCTCCATCCAGGTAGTCTAGATTCTTCTACAGGGCCAGACCTGGGATTTCCAGGCCTGGGTGGTAGAATTCTTACCTAGGACCCCAGGTTTTACATAAGAACCCCAAAGTGTAAAATAGGCCAAAAGGGAGCCACACTGGTTGAGGCAAGCATGCCCCAATGGCACAGAACTACCTGAGTCCTTTAGATCAGGTTATTGCGACCAGCATACCTTCCTTCCTGCATCTTCTCAGCCTGATTCCCCCAGAATCTAGTCTTGCCCACACTCTGGGCTCCCTTGGATACAGCTTGTATTGCTCTTACTGTGAATTTCAAACACTTCTTCCTGGCATTCCAGGCTCTTTGAGGTTGATTTCAACATGCCTGTCTTGCATCACTTTTCTCTAGGACTCAATTCTCTGGTCTTCTCACCACCTTTTGCATCTACCTCCCCTACTTCCCATCCCCTCTCATCATAGCCTGTCTACATATTAGCCTCTGTCCAAGTCTGAGATCTGTTATTGCAGGCACTGGCTGCCCATGGTTTCCCGCTCTGAAACCTAGCAGCAAACATAGTCAATGTCCTGCACAATAGTAACTGATTCTTACGTGGTTTTATCTGATTCATTTATGTGGACATGTGTCAGCCTGGTCCCCTTAGCTGGTTAGAGAATAGGGATAGTGGATAAGCTGCTTCTTTCTCTTGCAGCAGGGTCTAAATAGTATGAATTTCAGCGCATAATAAGGCTTCAATAACTAGCTATTGATTAGAATCCATTAAACCCAGCAGTCTTTTTTTTTTTTTTTGAAGTACTGGGGATGGAACCCAGAGCCTTGTGCATGCTTGGCAAGTATGCTACCACTGAGCTACATCCCCAACCTAAACCAGCAGCCTTGATACATTGCTGGAGTTGTAGAAGCTTCTCCCTGTTGCTGAGGATATGGAGGTACCATTGGGGGTTGGCCAACTGGGAGAGAGCCCCTGGGCTGTGGTTGGTTTGGTACCGGTCAAATCTCCTCCGGGACATTTTTTTCTGGAGTTTCCCCTAGGATGTGCACATCTCTCCAACTCAAGAAGACTCTGTCCAGGTGAGTGAGATTAACCATGTGGGCTTGGCCTGTCTTGCAGGGATTTGAAACTGGACAACATCCTTCTAGATGCAGAAGGTCACTGCAAGCTGGCTGATTTTGGGATGTGCAAGGAAGGGATTCTGAATGGCGTGACAACCACCACATTCTGTGGGACTCCAGACTACATAGCTCCCGAGGTAAGACCCTTGTACAAAGGGCTAAGGCAAGGTTCCAACACTATGCACTAGGGTCATCTAGTGGTGCTGGGAGAAGGCTCTGGAAAAGCAGGATGAATTCCAGGAAGGAGAAACAGTAAGGAAAAAGGTTTGCTGATTTCTCCATAACAATGTGGTGGCAGTGGGGAGAGAGTAGGTGAACTGAGAGTAACATTCATTCCTCAAATCTGAGCAAGTCCTCACTGAACATCACTCACCTGTCCTAGCCCATAAAACCACCAACAAATCTAAGAATAAGGCTGGGTGTGGTTGTACATGCCTGTAATCACAGCTACCCAGGAGGTAGAGATTGGGAGGATGGTGGTTCAAGGCCAGCCCATGCAAAGAATTAGTGAGATCCCAAACATGCTGGCATTGTGGTACATACCTATAATTCCCGCTACTAAGAGGCATAGTCTGAGATCAACCTATTCAAAAATAGAACCTTACCTGAAAAATGACCTAAAGCAAAAAAAGGTTGGGGCCATGGCTCATGTGGTAGAGCCCCTGTCTACCAAATGCAAGGCTCTGAGTTGAAGCCCCAGTACCACCACCAAAAAAAAAAAAAGCCCTAAGACAGAGATATTTGACTTGCATTATTGTTTTCAATTCTTATTTATCAGAATAAAGATGCCCCATTGAAAAAGGCAGCAATTAGTTCATCAGCTAGAATTTGCCTACAGTGGATCCAGGAATTGTTTGCCATTTCCACTGCAGGGGCAGTTCTACATAGTGGGCACACAGAATGGAGCAGAGCAGAGGCTAATTGTGGGTTCACCAACAGCTTGCATTGTGTGGCAGTTGTTTGGATGTTTGGCTTATCATAGCCTGTCATAGATACTTAATCAAAATGATCTTGATGGTTTTGAGACACAAAAGATGGGAAGGGAGTACCAATCCCATTAAGAAAGTCCATGGTACTAGCAGAGGTATTAGCATATATGGATTTAATTTCCTTTCAAGGGGCATTGTTTGAATACCTGCTAGACAGAAAGCAATACAGAATTAGCTGAGACACTGGTCCCTCTTCTAAAGGAACTTTGGATTTAGGAAGAGTGAAAGATAAGTGAGCAAGAAACTCAGCAGAATAAGTCAGTACCTAAAACAAGATAGTACCCTCAGGGATCAGGGAAAGCTTCTTGGAGCACTTGGAGGATGAACTGAGTGGTGAAGCATAAAGATTTCCTTTGACTGTGGGGTGAGGAGGCCACTTCTGAAAAGAAGAAGGATCTGAGCAGAGGCAAGGTAGAGAAAGAGCTTCCATATCCCTGGGCTCTGAATCCTTTCAAGGCAGGGTTTGTGTTTCTAATCTGGGTACTCCCAGGATCCAGCACACAATCAAGCTCTTGGTAATGGTTTGTTGAATGAAAAGATGGATGAGAACTCGTGAGATTTCCATATGAGCCAAAATCAAGAGATGAAAACATCTTGACCTTTTCCAGGAGAACTAGTGTGTCTAGAACAAAGAGCTTCTTCATGCTCATAATAATAAGATTTGGATAAAGGACCCAGGAATATGGCCTTGATCCTGTAGGATCAGTGGACCACTAAGGGTTCCCTTTATAGGTGGGTGCTCATCAGACCCATGCCAGAAAGAAGTCAGGCCACAGCAGTGCCCATGAGCAGGCAGAGTGTGGGGACATACCATGGAGTCTTCTCACTGACAGGACAACGTACAGGGCCTGAGGAGACCCAGGAGTGAGGATGGTGAGTTGTAACAAGTCCATTCTCTTTAGACCTGTTATCTTCTAAGAGATCCAAACAGTAGTGATTTAAGTTTCTATTAGTGTGTTCCCTTTGCAAGAACACTAAGAATGCAACCTTCAAGGAGAAATAAATGAAAACAAAGACTTTCCACTGGGTCCTGCTTTTCTCATCTTCCTCATTTATTTTTTACAATGAGAATACTTGGTTGCAGTCCCTCTGTGAGTTGATCCAGAGTCAAAGGGTCAGCAGCTAGTGTTAGGGACCCCGCCCAAGACAAACATTCACTTTACAATGAACAAAACACCCACTCAGCTTCCCTGCAAAGCAATCTGTGCTTGAAACTCTGAAGTCTGTTCATAACCAGGCAGGGTCACTCTTCCTTCCCGCTCTGCCCTTTGCCCACTGTGCAGAATCACCACAACACCGGAAACAGCCAACAATTTCAGTCTTATGGCAGGCAAATGACAGCTGATAGAGGAAGGTATTTCTGCCTTTACCAGGGGCTAGTGGGAAAATGAAATGAAGTTACGCTTCTAAAGCACTTAGCACAGTGCCCAGCCCACAGGAAGCTCTGGCTGAGACATGGCTCCCTACATGTTATCTTCTTTGCTAGGCTATGTAATGGAGCAGGAAAAACAGTTCTGAAAACTGAGACTCCAGGCCAGACTTCACCAGAATGCCCCCTGTGCCCTTGATGAAGTCAGACAGTGTGTTTGATTGAGCCTTAGGTTCCTCATCTTTCTGATGGGAATCATAAGGCCTGCCCTACCCCTCTCAGCAAGCTATTTGGAGACTCTAATAGGATTAAAGCATGGGGCTTCGAAAGGCATAAGCTTCTATTCAAATAAGAGAGGCTAACTCTGAAACCACAGCCACCTTCTGAGGCATCAGCACTGCCCCCAGACTTTTCTTCCCACCCTGTGCCCTTGGCTGAACCCTCTGGCACACCTCTCCTTTCTCCACATCTAGCCCCTGCTCCCCTGGAAATGGCTGCCAGCCCTAGACAACTCCTGATGCCATCAGGCCCAATACCTGTCCTCTCTCCTACCCCAGCTCTGACTGACAGGAGAGGCTGGCTGCCATGCCAGGTGCCCTCCCAGGGTGTGCAAAGCCTTGCCCTTCTCACCAGCTCCATTGCTGACAGGATGATTAGGACACAGATAATTAGGGCTGAGCCTAAAAGGAATTTTACAATAGATGCCACCCAAAACAAGAAGGCTTTGAAGGGAACTTGTGAAGGGTGGATACAGCCGCTCAACAGTTTCCATAGCACCATCAGTCTGGGCACACATGAGCCACCTGGAGGTCTTCTCTCCACACCACATAGGCACAGACCCCAGCTGTGCCTCGTTCCTGAGGCTAGAGGGTGACCAACTTAGTACCTAGAGCCCCTGGGTCCAGGAGTCAATGGTGTATACCAAGTAAGTGTTAGAATGAGCTGATCACAGCAGTAGGCCCTGAAGAAGGCTAGAAGAGATGCCCAGGAGAAAGAGTTGACCATGGAAAAATAATGAAAAACTCAGTAGTATGTTGGAAGTATCTGTGAACCTGAGGACCAGGCAAGGTCTTAGGATGTCATAGGATGAGAGAAAGAGCTGGGGAAATGTGGGAAAGCTTTAGAGTGGAGGTAGGATGCAGCCATGACCTTAAAGGACAGAAACTGGTGGTGCTGGTGGGCTTGGTTGAGCTGAGTCTCATGAGGTTGAGGGAGAAGCTGTCTTTGGCTTTGGAACAAAGAATGCTGGCCCCTCAGGATGGTGGAGCTAATAGCTCTGACCTTATAGATACCTTGTACTAACCAGTGGGCAGACAGACTAACAATACTAACCAGATTTTCAACCCCAAATAAGAACTGACTGCATTTTCTCATGTTATTTTTTATTCCAAATTAAGGAGATCCCTAAACTATACATTTTTAGTGTTTTTGAATGCTTCTACCCAAGTCTTCCTAAGTTTATACCGAACAATTTGGGATTGCTCTAGGAAGGCAGTTTAGCACATCCTACATACATTTAACCCAAGTTAATTCTATGATTCTATACATTTGGCTAAAGGAAAAAAGAGAGACAGAGAGCATTGCTAAGATAATGGCCATTGTCAAAGACAGAATGCACCAGGTAATCAAGTTAACTGATTTGATCCTGTTCTTGGGCACTAGGGAGAACATTTAATCATAAGGTTGGCCTCAAAGAAAAGGAAGGGCCCTGGGGTATTTGAGAGGCTGATAAATAAGGGATTGAGCCACAAGTCTTAGGGGAATTAGGAGGAAGAACAAAAAGAGGTGGGTCTTTTCTTGGAATATTTAAAAGCAAAGTGGTCCTTTGTGGGTGGAACACAAAGGGTGGGAGAGACTGCTGTTCTTTCCTTCCAAGGAGCACAGAGCTTAGGTAAGTTTAACATTGCCTCCATTTGAGGAAGATGGAGATTCTGGTCACCTGTCCATGTAGATAGTGAGTGTGACATGGGCTGAGTGTGGTGGGAGATCTGAGCTTGCTGCACTGCTGGTCACTTACAGCTTGCTTGTGTCTCAGAATCTGCATCTCGGTCCCCTAAGTCTGATTTTAATGTCAAAATGTGCATTTTTTTAAAAATGTGGCCCTAAATGCAGTCAAGAACATCTGGTGCTCAAAGAAACAGCCATTTGTTCCCACAGGACGCTAGACTTTTGATGTTGACTTTGGCCTCCAGCAAAGTACTCCCAAACTCAGTTCTCTCTGAATGTGTTGGTTTAGATGCTCCCCTTAGGTAACACAGATCTGCTCTATGGAGGAGCTAGTTGGAATTGGAGGTGCAGATCTTCCCAGAGGTGTTTGGGCAGGGATATGTTGCCAAGGTGGTGGTCTTTGGTGGTCTCTGACGTTGCCCATTTCCTAAACAGATCTTACAGGAGTTGGAGTATGGCCCTTCAGTGGACTGGTGGGCCCTGGGGGTGCTAATGTACGAGATGATGGCTGGGCAGCCCCCCTTCGAGGCCGACAATGAGGATGACCTATTTGAGTCCATCCTCCATGACGACGTGCTCTACCCTGTCTGGCTCAGCAAGGAGGCTGTCAGCATCTTGAAAGCTGTGAGTCATTGTCCCTCACCTGTGGTTCTTCTCCCTGGAGCTCCAGTCCTACACACACACACACACACACACACACACACACACACACACATACACACACACACACACACACACCTTCCTTTCTCATTTTTTCTCCCTCCTCCACCTCTGCCCACCACTACATGAGAATTCAGGACCACCCATGGGGAGTTCAGGCAGGGTTCAGAGACTGCTACTGAGAATGGGGACTAGGACAATTGCTCTTCTTGTGGGAAAGGAACGGCGTGTATGCATTTCCTGAGATGGCACGCTGTGTGCGTCTGTGCCCCCCAGCATCTCAGGGGCAGCAGTAAGTCATGAGACGTCATTTCTACCCCTTCCCTATAGAGCAAGCTCCTCCTTCCTTCTCTCCTACCTGGGGCCTGTCTGCATGGGGGTCTGCAGTGGAGAAGAGAAAGGAGGGGAAGATGGGGAGAACACTGCCCACAACAGCATCACTGTGGCTGAATCACTGATCAGAAAAGATGTGATCCACCTAAGCTCCAGGCTGGGTTCAGACACATAGCAGAGACTGTTCCTGCCCCATAGATAATCCCCCATATTTTCCAAGCACAGCTGTTTCTGCAGCATAATGACATTTATACAATGTCAAGTAAGTAGTGGTTCTTCAGTGTGGGAATGTTAGGCAGTTTACCCAAGAGTACCCTGCTAGACTGTGGCAAAACCAGTGACAGCACAGGAATCTCAACTTCCAGTCCTGGCTTCCATACCCTACCAGAACACCACAAAGCTGGGTAGTTTTCACCCCACATTCACAAAATCTGCTCTATCCAAGCACACTCTGTATGCTGTTTACTTTTCTGCTTCTTTTAATAGACTCCCAATAGTTACTTCATTATATGTATCTTGCAGAGAAATTTATCTCTCACCACAGATGGGAAATCAGTATCACTTGCCATAGTTAACATAAGTCATCATATGAAAAATTTTTAATCATTTTGCAACAAGGACTTGAACTGTCTGTCTTTCTTGCCTCAGCCCTCATCCTCCTCAGCCTCCCCTGGCTTCTTGAGGCCTTGAAGCCTCCCAGCCAGCCACTGGCTCAGCTGAGACCCTGCCACGTTAAAGCCCTGTTCATCATTGTTTTCTGGGCACTGGCCATGGTCTCCCCTTGCATGTAGGCAGTTTTTTCTCCATCTACTTTGCTGTTGCCCCTCAGTTTGGGTGTTTCCAAGTGTTGGCTCAGTAGCCCTTAGGTTAATGAGGCTTATTCTGTCCCACCCCACCACTTGAAGAATGTAAACTTGCCATCCTCCCTGCTCACCCTTATCCTGCTCCATTTACTCCTGGTAGCAGCTTCTACTTTCCAATCTACTATAAAGATGATGTGTTATGTTTATGGCCTGTTTCCTTCCACAAGTATATAAGCCCCATGAGGCCAGGGATTTTGTTACTTTATCTCACGGATGCACCTGAGGGCAAAGAACAATGCCTGGTGCATCACAGGTGCTGAGTAGGGCATTTGTTCGTGGCAGCAGCTCTTAGTGCTGTACTCTTTACTCTTAACTATAGGTTGCAAACTAAAGCCTACAGTCCAAGGAGGTGGACTCAGTTGGGGCAAATCTGCTGGAGAGCCCACACCTGTCTCAAGGTGTCCACTTGTGGCTCCAGCTGATTGTTAGCATGCAGCAATGAGGACTTCCCCTCATCATGCCTGACTCTCCAAAGGAAGCCTGAAATCCAGATTGCTATGTCAAATCTCTCCATGTAAAATGATTGTATCTTGTTTAATTAAAAGGAATATGGGACCGAGCATGGTGGCTCCCACTATAATTACCTATCAGGAGGGGGAAATTAGGAGGATTGAGGTTTGAGACCAGCCTAGGCAAAAAATTAGCGAGGACCCCTGCCCCACCCCCCATCGCAACCAAAAAAGCTGGGTATAATGATGTGTGCCTGTCATCCTAGTTATGTGGAGAGCATAAGTAGGAGGATCGTGGTCCAGGCGAGACCCTATCTCAAAAATAACTAAAGCAAAAAGGCCAGGGAGCATGGTTGAAGTGGTAGAGCACCTAGTGCAAGGCCCTGAGTTTAAACCTCAGTACCTCAAAAAAAAGAAAAAGCAGCCAAAGCAAAGCCCTGTGTGAGTTATCCTTGGGTGGCAACCCTTAACCTCCACCTTTGCCTGCTCCTTGCTGGTGTGACTCACTGGTCCCTGCTTGATCCCTTTAGGACAGAATTCTAGGCACTGCCTGACTCTGGGCTCTCACCAGCCCTGTGCTCTCCCCTGCTCTGCACCAATGTCAGGGATCCCCACAGCCTAGAGGCATGGGTCCAAGACTCTAGGCTTGTGTCCCCAAGTCCCTGCTCAGTACTGCCACCCAGCTATCCACATTTAGTGCACTCCAAACTGAACTCCTGAGTGACCGCCTCAAACCTTCTCAGTCCCAAGCTCCTTGGCTCAGTGATTGGTACCTCCAACCTCCTGCCTGCATAGCAGAAATTTGGTGGTGGCCTTGACTTTGCCCTTCCTCCTCCCACCCCCCCGCATCTATTCAGTCATTGGGTCCCTTCTTCCTCCCCAAATTTTCTATTCTGGTTGCCTTTCTCTATCTTTGCCCATGCTGGCCTCAAACTTGATCCTCCTGATCTCCCTGTCCACGTAGTTGGGATTATCGGTGTGGGCCACCCATGCCTGGCCCCATATTCCTTTTAACTGAACAAGTTACAATCATTTCACATAGAGAGATTTGACATACCTGAGTGTCAGTCACTGTCACCTCTCCCTTGATGATTCATCCTCACAGAGCCCCCACCTGCCTCCTTGTCATTTCTGTACTTCATGCGTCTCATGCCTTATGCCCTATATGACCACATGCTGCAATTAGGGAAGAACCCCATCTTCAAAGCAGCCCCTGAGGTCCTGTACCAGGCCCTGTCTGCTGCTCAGGTGACCTCGCTGGCTGAGCTCAAGCCTCTTTGACCTGTGTGCAAGTCCTTCCTGCTCTAGATTTCTGTGTCTTCCTTCCCCCAGTCTACTCTCTACTCTCCCCATTTGCCTGGGTACTTCTTGCTCCGCCCCCAAGTCTCAACCCCAGTGTTTCTTCCTCAGGGGAACTTTTGCCTACTTCCCTGATAATAGGCTCATGGTCTGCTGTGCTTCTCTAGTGTCATTCATCACGATCTCAATTAATTGATTCTTTGGTGAATTGCTGATGTCTTCTCAGGCCCTCCCCCCTCACTAATGTGCATGCTCCATGATGCAGGAAACATGTGTCTCACATCGTCACATGTTCACAGGAAGAGGAGAGGGGGATTGTAGTAGCAGTGCTAAGCTCCTCCCAGGCTGCATTCAGGAAATCTCTCAGAATCCAGAGGTGACTACAGTGTGGCCAGATTTCTATCCAGTCTCTTCGCATTCCTTCAGGAAGTCCAGGCCATGGAGAGGAAGAGCACCTCACTCAGGAGAAGGAGTGCTTACTTTTGGAATCGGTAGGATAGTCACATGGTTTTTGAAAAAGCCAAAAGTATAAAATGGGGCATAGTAAAAGGCCTCTGTCTTCTCACTCCCATGTCTCATGGTCTGAACCCCATGGGTGGCTCTGTTTTTAGATCTTTCTATAGCCTACAGATATCAATTCTTATTTCTTTGCCTTTTTTTAAACAAATGCTAAAAGGCTTGACATGTATTTCATTTTCCTCTCAACAAGGGAATCTTGACTCTTCTACTCAGTGACACAGCTTGACACACATATGTCCATTTGCTCTGCCTGCCCTTTTACTTTGGGGCTGTGGTGTGGGGCAGCTGCTGGGTGGGTCCTCCGCAGAGGACTCTCCTGGGCAATTGCCGGAAGGTGGACACAGAACCTTGTCCTGCTCCAGTTCTCAGAGCCCCATCCAGCCCCAAGACAGCTGAAGAGCTGGGGAATAGCTGCTAGCACCATAGCAGCCAGGACACTGTGAGTCCCCCTGATGAGTCCCCCTGTGAGTCCCCCTGATGGCACAGCAGCAGAGCCCTCTCATTTTGGATGACTCAGAACAGTAGTTCTCCACTGAGGGCCATTTTGCCACCCCCTCTCCAGACACACACACACATGTGGCAATGTCTGGAGATATTTTTGGATGACACAACTTGGGGTGGGGGTGGCTGCTTCTGGCCTGTAAAGGGTATGGGTCAGGGGGTTTGCTAAACAGCTTATCATGCCCAGGACAGTCCCCACAACAAAGACGTATCCAGTGCAAAATGTCAGCAGCACCAAGGTTGAACAACTTTGACGTGGAGAGATTCAGAAATCAGAGGTCACGCCATGCTAACTGCTTAGTATCTTCTAGAAGAGAGCCTCCGGCTCAGGGGAAGCATTCTGACACACTTATCCCTAAGCCTGATTCTTCCCCTTCCAGAAGTCAGAGGCAGGAAGAGCTGTGGAAGTAAAGAGAACACATCTACTCCCTTGGCCTTGAACTCTCCACTTCCTCACATTGTCATTTGATTTTTAGAGTTTTCTCTAACTCTGGTCTCAGAGCTGTGTCTCTGAGTGTGTGTCTCTGGGGGTACTGCCTGTGTGAACGTGGTACAGAACTCTAGAGAAGGCCATTTGAATCAGAGAGTTATGTATGTACAACCTCTGTAATAGTGGCCATCCTACTGCCTGTCTTCCCCAGCACTGTGTCCTGAGGCCCAGCCTTCAGCGTCCTAGTCAGTCATCAGGGTTTACAGCGTGCAGGAAACAGGAGGCAGGCACTGAGTCAGGTGCTAGGCAGATGGGTCTGGTTTCTAAATCACAGAGCTTACCAAGAGACATTTGAATAAATTATAATTTAAGAAAAAACAAGAAACATGGGGCCCAAGGTACCAATAGTGGGAGGAATCTAGGGAAACTTCACAGAAGAGGCAACATTTTGACAGATTCTTGGAGAATGGCTCAGTATTGGAGAGGAGCATTCAATCAGAAAGATTAAAGGATGCCGAGGGCTGGCAAGGTAGACATGGTTCAGACGGGAGCCTCCTGTGTGCCATATCAAGAAGTATAGACTTCATGGTGTGGGGCACCCAAGGTCTTTAAGCAGGAGTGACCTCACTGACATGTTAGATGAGAGAGAGATCGAATGCTTCTGTCCCATTCCCATTCGCATCTCGTCGGCGCTCCTTCACCCTCTTACCTGCAGCTCTCCCCAAAGCAGTCCTACGTGATTTGGTTTCAACAGTACCAGGTGAGAGATGGTAGGAGGTGTTGCTCCCGGCCCAAGACGGTCTGTCTCCCTTACTGGTGAATCTGAAATTCAACCATTATAGATTACTCCATTGTCTTATACTTTGCACTCTCAAGTTCCTTTGCCCCATGAAATGTAGCACTTTGTCTCTAACACACATGCATACATACACCTTCATTTCCGGCGGCTCTCAGAAATGTTTCCCCTACTAGCATTTTTGGGGGATTATATTGGTATGCAGTTGTTCAGTTATGGTGATATTCACCATCAGGACTGACTCATTTAATAGAAATGAATTCACCTGGAGTCGGGGGGTGGGCACAGAACACCACCTAGATCATAATACAACTCAGTGTGCTTTGCCCATAAGCAATAATCCTTTCCTTTTCTTGTTCTTTACATTTTGACCTACATGGGCATTTTTGTGTAGAGACTGTAAATTCAAATATTAAAAAGTGGGCATGGCCAGGGATGGGAAAAGGAAAGGGGCAGGAGTTACATTTGATCATTTACCTGTACATGAATACCTGGTCTTCTTTCTTTACCTCAAAAAGAACTTGACCTCTCGCTGTTAATCCTAGTCTCATTGGTGAGAAGACTTGGGACTCTCAGGGAATCAGAGAGGTAGTAAGGATCTGAGATCCTAATCTCAACTTGGTAGCCATGTGACTTTGGCCTGGTTAATTAGCCTCTCTGTACCTCAAGTACCTCTCTTAAAAGTAGAGATAACAATAGTACCCCCCCCACACACACACACATGCTATGTTTACAGTGGTGATTGGCACATACCACATCATATAGGCAAGAGTCACAGAACACCCCAAGAATGAGGTTCCTACAAGTGCAAACACAGGCATAGGAGGTGACTTGGAAGATGCTTCCTAGACTGGCTTCAGTCTCTGCCTTGCAGCCTATGCAAGGCTAATTCTATGTCATTTCCTTATGTCCACAGTTCATGACCAAGAACCCCCACAAGCGCCTGGGCTGTGTGGCTGCGCAGAACGGTGAGGACGCCATCAAGCAGCACCCGTTTTTCAAGGAAATCGACTGGGTGCTCTTGGAGCAGAAGAAGATCAAGCCCCCCTTCAAACCAAGAATTGTAAGTGGAGCCCTAAGCACCTTCCACTCCAAGGGTCAGCTGGGCACCTGTGCAGTAGGCTGTGTGTGCCCAGAAGGCCTGGCCTGGGGCACAGGTGCCAAAGGCAGGTTGTGGTTGGGACCCTCTCTGAGGGAGAGAATCTCAGGCCCTGATCATTGACAGCTGAAAATATGAAACCAACAATCAACTGAGGTGATGGTCTGTGAGGGTCACAGAAGAGCACTTCTTATCTAAATAGAGGCTCACCTGTATATTTTGATCAAAAAAATATGACTGGGGGCATGGCTCAAGTAGCAGATCACCTGCCTAGCAAGCAAGAGACCCTAAGTTCAAACCCCATTACTGCCAAAAAAAAAAAAAAAAGATATATATATATATAGAGAGAGAGAGAGAGAGAGAGAGAGATGATGCTAGTTTTCCTTACTTGATAGCAATATAAGGTTTCCTCATAGATAAATGGGGTTGGTTTTTGAAAGAGTACATTTCAAGGAACATATTAACTAAATACTACTCAAGGTCATTATGCGCCACTAGCACAGAGCATGATGCTGGGACTCAGTGCTGTGTAAAAAGACTGGCCTTGGAATTCTGCACGGCAGTCCCACCTGAATAGGCCATTTCTTGAGCCCTCTCAGAGTCCCTTCTCTTCCTGCCTTCCATCCTTGTTCTGCCAACTCCCACATGCCAAACATGGGGGTAAGGAGAGTTAAGGGTATGCGACATTCAGAGGTTGGGAAGAGGAGCAGAACTGCCATCTGGACTGTGGGCTTGACTCAGAAGACAAAGACCATGTCCTGGCAGTAGTCTTCTGCTGAAATGGGGAGAGTTCTGTTTCTGAGAGAGGGAAAGTGTGTGTGTGTGTGTGTGTGTGTGTGTGTGTGTGTGTGTGTGTGTGTGTGTGTGTGTATGGGGAGATGTTAATTCTGTTGTTTCATAGCCCAGTGAGATGATCTTTCTCAGACTGAACATCCAGATAGCCAGGGGACAGACTCTTGCAAGTAAAAGGGGAGAATATAATACACAAGTTTATTGGGCAGGAACCCAGAGCCGTGAGGCCAGGGCCCAAGACAAAATTGACCTGAGATCATCCAGTCAGCCCTCCATTATCCACATTCTTTCAGGAAAGCCTTGTCTCCTCACCTCCAAGTGTAGAAAAGACCCTCCTGAGCTTTGTAAATCCTGAGAGAAGAATTCCATTCTACTCCACAATGTTTTCTGGGGAGCCATTACTGATAGTGCTATGATCTTAGAATGCTCCATGGGCATGGTTCAGGCCTCTACCAGACCTGAGCATGGCAGGTGGACCATGTCTGGATGCTTTATCCTGTCATAGTTCCTCATGTGCTTCCTTCTTCAGTTGGCATGGTTTTTCTGGGGAGAGCACAGAGCTTGGGACCAGCTAGGTTTAGGGTCACCATCTTTCTTTTTGAACTTGTCTTCCACTCTAGCGCATCTCACCATGGCTCTAGGCTTCTGCTCCAAGCCCATGCTGTGGGTTTAAGGAAGGATTGGGTCACAAGCCACTCAGGCTGACTGTCCCCTGCTGCCGCAGGGCTCATTGCACATGCCAACCTGCCCAATGGCTGGGAGCTGGGACCTCTACGAGTGGTCTCAAAGAACAAGATTAACTGAACCACTGATAGAATGGGGGAACTGGGTCACCAGAGGCCTCATGAAAGAGGAGGAAAAACTAAAGAAAGGCTCAGATCGTAGGGTAAATCTTAATTTAGATTTAATCTAAGTTAATCAACTCCTAGAAAAATGAGAAATCAAGCTAAGTAAAGAATCCAGGCTCAATGAACAGAAACCCATTTGGAGATCAGTAACTGGTCAGACATCAGCACTATCTACAGAATGGGTAGAACTTACATGGAAATTCTTATGTCAGCAAAACCACTATGAACTAGGTTTGGGGAGCCCCAGGCCCAGTGTGGGTGGACAGGAATGGATGAATAAGTTTACTGTGAGAGGAGAGGTACAGGGAAGGCCCTGCAGTCTGAAGGGGAAGGATGGCTGGTGTGGACAGAGGAAGCCTGAAAGTCTGTAGAGAGACCCCTGGAAGGAAGGAAGTAGTGAAGAGCCTTAATTATAAGTCACAAAGGACATTTCAATGTAGGAATCATGGAGACAAGTCTTTCCCTGAGATGTAATAGGTGACAGGAACTCAATGTCAAAGGCCTGTCCCAAGAGTTTTTACTCAAATCTATTAGAAGTGTGGGATCTGGAAGTTAAGCAATATCCAAAGTCCTTCCCAAAGCCCTGGCACTCCCAAGAGCCCCTCACTGTTTCCACCCCAGGAGCTTCTCAGTATTCCCACTCCAGGAGCCCCTCACTGTTCCTATCCCAGGAGTTCCTCACTGAAGTTTCCTAGGAGCCCTTTGGTGGGCTTCCGGCCTTTAGTTTGAGATGGAGTGACCAGTGTAAATGCAGACCTTCTGAGAGAAGTCACTCCTGGAACAGTGCCCACCTCCCCATACAGTGAAGGTAGAATGAGGGGAGGGCCATGAGGAAGAGTTGTAAGGTGACTATGGTCTGAGAACTGAGGCAGAGGCCAGACACAGGAAAGCTGAAAAGAGTGAGGAAAAATGAGTGGATGCCAGCACTCAACCTAGTCCACAATGTGCAGGCTTCGCCCTGGCCCAGGCAGTCAGTGAGCCCTTCTGGCTAGCCCTGGCTACTGTGAAGTGGCTACTGTGGGCAGAGGTGTGAGGAGCTCCTGGGAACCGGCAGGAGAAAGTACTTCTCTAGGTCAGAAGTTAGAGGGGACCCTACCTCCCCCTGACCCCTGGAGCACAAGAGATCAGGACTTCCCTTCCTTTGGGTCACTCCAGAACCCCCACCTTGGACTGAAGGGCAGGATTCTGCTCACTTCCTTTGCTGGGGGGATCAAGTGGTCTTCCAGGGGCTTCCCTAGCCCTTGAGAAGATGACAAAAAGAATGATGTTGGTCATCTATAAGCTCCCAACATCTGTCTTAGTCAATTTCCTATAGTGTCTTCACTATTGCTGTGGAAATCGTCTCTTGTGCCTGTTCCCACTCTGCCCCCAAATTGCCAGAGTTATCCCTGACCCTGGTCAGGGAAGAGGTTTTATTAGGCTGATTTAATGTCAGATGGGAACAGAGACTGAGAACATCTGGGAAGGGGAGCATGAAACATTGTACAGGAGGTGTTTCTGGTCACACTGGCTGAATCATGTGGATCCTTACAGTGCTCTCAGCTATGGGTCTTTATTCAAGACCTATTCAAGCTAGTTAAATACCTGATCACATTTCCATCCTTGAGTCCTTAAATTGCTCTCAAGAAAAATATCAAAATTGGGAGAACAAAAAGAATAACTGACATCTAGTTAGCCCTCAGAAAGGTGTCCCAACTCTGCCCCTGACTTGAAATCTCTTTTCAGAAACATGGAAATGGCCCCAGCCTTTGTCACCTATGGGCTTGAGTCTAGCAGAAACAGATGTTAAGTTGAATTAAAACCACTGCAACAATGAATATACTGTATTTCTCATCTCAGAAAGCCTCACAGGACCAGTGTGAAAACTCACACCAGGTTTTTATGAGCCATCACCCCCTCTGTGGTACGGGTGCCTAGCCCAGATGGCAGCAATGGGACAGATCTTTGCTCCACTAGCAGATACAGCCTTACCATAGGCAAACCACATAATCACACACAAGAAGTCATAAGGGAGATGGGAAGCTGAGGCATGTCCCCACAAAGTTGTCCTTCTACTCATGGGGCAGGGGTTCCATCATCAGACTGGCTTTCCTTGAAGTTAAGGTGTCATATAACTTAGTTGCCTTCCTAGGAGAGCTAGAGAAGAAAGGGCTTTGACAGAGAGGGGAGCTGGTTCAGAGCCTGACATTGGCTAGAAGCAGCCCAGGCAGAGAACTATCAGCCAGGAACAGCATAAAGTTCTTAGATCCCAGGACTCAAGAATAGATTCTATGTGAAAGAAAAGACACTGGAAGGGTCTATGAGCAAACAGCACCAGCCTTGCAGTTGGTGGTGGCCCAAGGAGACATTTGGAGATGTTTAAATAAGCAAGGAGGGCAGTGCACAAATGCCCCCTGCCTGGTAAGAAGGGACACCTCCAGGGAAATTCAGTCCCGTGCTGGATATGTGAGGGAGCTGGGGATTTCCTCTGTCTAGGGCTAGTTCCACTTGCTCTCGAGCTATGTCCTGTTGATATCACACCAGAATGCCACTATCCTCAGAAACCTGCTCCATAGTGATTGCCCCACTCCTCAGTTTGCCATGGAACTGAATCATCTGAGGGATATCCTGCCTGTAGGATTCAGGAAGGAACTGGTTTTGTCAGGTGCTGGAGGTAAGGCCAGGAAGGCCACATTACCAGTCTAGCACTCGAGAACAGCCAAGGTGCAATGGCACATGTTATCAGAGCTTCTGACCTCCCCACTCCCACCACACACCCAAACCTGCTGCAGCCCGGACATGCTTAGATGGAGGTCAGTGCTCTGGCTCACACCAGAGCACTGCATGTGGATGCATTAGGAGAATAGCTCCCAATCTGACTCCCACCCCCTCTACAGGAAGCCTCTCTGCTCTGAAGATATCACCAAGGAGATTGTCCAGATTCAAGGCTGGAATTTGGCCACTGGTCAGGTTCCATCACATACCTCAACTGGCTGCTGTCCCCTCTAGGCTTTTGCCTTCCTGAGATGTTTGTTAAACTGAGATTTCTGCTCTCCTGGCGCCTACGCCTCTCTTTCTTACCCCTGTCCCAATTCTCCAGCTGTCATGAATGCAAACTAGGTTTCCTGCCTTCAGGTTGTCACCCTCTGTACTAATCCCCAACCCAAGACACTTCTCAGTAGCCTCTGCTTCAGCATGGAGAGTTTCCTCTCTCTGTTCTTCCAGTTGTTGTATATATCCTCCCTCCTCTGCATTCTCTTTTATATTCCTCTTGTCTACCCTTTATCCATCCACATGCCAAACCAAAGACTTTATGCCAAATTGTACTCAAATCAGTTTTCCAGG